ACTGACCTAGTGTTGGATTCGGTTCGGGACACCCGGCCCGTAACCCGGCCCGGCCCGCTATTGTGCGGGCCCGGGACCGGCCCGATCGGGCGGTCCGGGACCGGGTGTAGACCCGAACCGGCGGGGAGGGGCAGGGCGGGTACGGTTCCTGAAAAAGTTGACCCGGGCCCAGGTACGGGTCCAACGGTCCAATTTAAAAAAAATGTTGGGCCCCAAACTAGCCGTTATGGCCTTGGGGGGTGGGCTGGGGACAACCCAAACGGCTATATAGCCGCTGGGTGGGGTGCAGGGGGGTCCGGGGGGGTGGGGGTTGGGGGGTTGGGGGGGTAAAAAACCCTATAAATACTCCTAATCTTAAACATTTTTTCATATCTCTTCTCCAATTCTTCCTAAATCCCATTCTTAACTCTCTACTCTCTAATTCTCTTATTCTCCAATATATTATATTTATTATTTATATATCTACTTTATAGTTTATACTTAAGAAGTTAAGATGGAAAATCAAGATGCCATTATACGGTATATTTTTGATAAGCAGAAGGACCCGAAGACCGGGATGTGGTACGCAACTTGCAAATGGTGCGGGGAAAATGTAGCATTGGGGTTTCAGGCGGATACAGGATGGCAATGAATAGAGATGGATTCGGGCCGGGTCGGGCCGCCGGTTCGTATCACATGGGCCCGGGACCGGCCCGAGGGTTGGACGGGTCCGGTTCAGGCCGGGCCACCCGCCCGGGTCACGGGTCGGGCCACCCGCCGGGCCGGGCCGGGCCGGGCCGGTTAAATTTTTTTTTTTTTAATTTATATTTTATACTTTATAGTTTTATACAAGTATTAAAAAACAAATTTCAAGTGCATTTATTTGAAATGAAATAGGAACTACATTTGAAAATTAAATAGGAACTATAATTGTTTTTAATCGGAATCTCCGACATAGGTAGAGCCACCCTCTGTTGTAGATTCATCCATAAAGTGTTGGGATGGAGTGATGTCAATTTCTTGAGCTCTACGTGCTGCTTTCAACCAATCGTGGTAGCATATAAGCATCTCAAGAGATTCGGTGCTCAACCTCGTTCTGGTTTGTGTTAGAACATTGCCGGCCGAACTAAATTCTTGTTCCACGGCAACCGTTGAAACCGGCATTGATAGCACTTGCTTAGCCATCTTTGCTAAAACCGGGAACATTCTTTCTTTTCCCTTCCACCAGTTTAGTACGTCAAAATCATCATCTTCTTCAAAATCAACATCATAAGTTAAATACAAAGAAATCTCATTAATTGTGCTTTGTTGTGTAGCGGGAGTTGATTTTGTTTTTTTAATAAGATTGGCAAACGTAGATTCGAAAATTGATTTTCCTTTAGATGATGTTTGTGTCGGGGGAGGGGGCGCATTGCCATATTGTGCATGAAACTCATTGAATAATGCATAAAATATATCACTAACCTCGTTGTATTCTTTTTTCGGATCAATTGGGTTGTCCTCATACATTGGCAATGGACCAAAAAAAGCAACATAATAATAATTCAAACATTCTTCTAAAGAACCAAGTCTAAAATGAGGATCGAGAACAAATGCAATACCATAAATATGCACCGGCGAGATTAACAGCTTCACGAATAAATTGGTTTGAGGTAGGTTTATAAACATGACTAAAAGTTTCAGTTGCATTATTAAAATATATCAAAGCATTACAAATTTTTTCACAGGTGTCGATCTCAGCCGAGTTTATAATATAGTTATCATATTGTTTCATAAAAGCAGGAAAATGTTGTTTATATCTAAGAAGAACTCCAATTAACTTATAGGTACTATTCCAACGAATAGACAAATCTTTTGGAAAAGCCACATATCTCTCACCTCTTTCTATCAAATAATCATGCCATTTTTTCCTAAGGTGTCCATTACCCCAAATACGTCTAATCCCCCCCCTCCCCTGACTACCTCCAATGATGCTCCCAACGCTTTTAGACCATCTTGCACACATAAATTTAGAACATGACATGCACATCGTTGATGAAAAAATCTACCCATCAAAGAAGTATAACCACACAATTCACGCAATCTAGGAATAGCAGTAGTATTATTAGTAGCATTATCAAAACCAATAGCAAACACCTTATCAATTAAATTATACTCAATTAAAATACGTTCAATCAAAATATAAATATGTTCAGCGGTGTGACGATCATTAAATTCACGGAAAGCAAGAACACGTTTATGCATATGCCAATCATTATCAATATAATGTACAGTCAGATCCAAATAATGTAAATTATGATAAGTATCCTCCCATATGTCAGAACATACAGTAACACGTCCATCAAAGTTTGCAAAATATATTTGTAACCTTACCTTTTCCGCACCATAAAGCCTTGAAATTTCTTTCTTAACCGTTTTGCGACTATAACCTCTATATTGCGGATTTAAACAAGTTTGTGCATAATCACGAAAAGCAAGACTTTCAGAAAACAAATAAGGCAAATTTTCTTCGACAAGTAAGTTAGCCATACCTGTCAAATTTTGTGCATCATTGTATGAGAAATTACCAAAAGCTTGTTGGTTATTTGCAAACCTCGATATTTGCGTTTGCTTCCCCGTTCCGCCGCCTAATTTTGCATACTCCACCGGGTGTTTGGACTTAAGGTGTCTTGTGGCGGATCCGTATCCGCCGGAAATCCCCAAGCTATAGTTTTTCTTGCACCAATTGCAAGTTGCGGTCCAATTCCCGGTGTTCGGGTCCTTCCACTTAGAAAAATTATTAGCCATTAATTCGGATTTACTTTTTTTTGTACCTGTTTGGGATGAGGCTGCTTGGTCGGCGTCATGGCTGCCGCCACCCTCCTCCTCCTCCTCGTCGTGGCTCTCCGGAATGGCTTCCTCCACATCGTCGTCCTCGTCCTCGAGCTCTTCTTCGTCAATGGTCCTCGGTTGGTCTTGAAAAAAGCGGGAATTATGTCGGTGCAATTCTTGTTCTAGTTGTTCGTCGGTCATCGCATCCCCATCCCTCCTTACGTAACCCGTATCAAAATCATCTTGACTTTGAGATGAAGAGCCGATATGTGATTTACCTTTGCGAGATCTCTTCCTCGCAAGTTCTTTCGTTCGGTTGCGCTCGAGGTTACCCATATCAACCGAATATCTAGGACGATCCATCTAAAAAATGTAGCGATTAAAAAACTAATTAACTATTTATCTAACTATTAATTCGAGTTATAGCAAATTAAGTAGTGAATTAACTAGTTTTGTGTACAACATATTTTTTAAACTAGAGTCAAATGTAGCAATTAATAAAAAATTGTAAAAAACTAATTAACTATTTATCTAACTATTAATTCGAGTTATAGCAAATTAAGTAGTGAATTAACTAGTTTTGTGTACAACATATTTTTTAAACTAGAGTCAAATGTAGCAATTAATAAAAAATTGTAAAAAACTAATTAACTATTTATCTAACTATTAATTCGAGTAATAGCAAATTAAGTAGTGAATTAACTAGTTTTGTGTACATATTTTTTTAAACTAGAGTCAAATGTAGCAATTAATAAAAAATTGTAAAAAACTAATTAACTATTTATCTAACTATTAAACAAGAGTCAAATGTAGCAAATTAACTAGTAATTAAACAAGTGTAAATAATAGAATAATTTCGTACCTCTTTCGGACTTTCGGTCTTTCGGATGGGAGTAATAGAATGACTTCAAATTAATTAGATATAATTCCAACTATATTAATAGATATAATAAATATATAAGTAATATATAATTAGATAACAAATATAACTTATATTAGTAATATAATACTATTTATATCTATTTATAGTTTATGTAAGTAGATAATTAATATAAACTATAAATAATAAATATAATATATTGAAGAATGGAGAATAAGAGGATTAGAGAGTAGAGAGTTAAGAATAGGATTTAGGAAGAATTGGAGAAGAGATATGAAAAAATGTTTAAGATTAGGAGTATTTATAGGTTTTTTTACCCCCCACCCCCCACCAGCCAACCCCCCGGACCCCCCCTTTACCCCACCCAACGGCTATATAGCCGTTTGGGTTGTCCCCAGCCCCACCCCCAACGGCTAGTAGCCCAACCAACCAAAAAAAAAAAAAAAAATTAAAAAGAGACCCGGACCCGGGCCCGACCCGGCCGGGCCGGGTCACAATAATCCAGAACCGAGCCCGCCCCGCCCCTTTCCATCGGTTCGGATCCATACCCGGTCCCGGGCCGGTCCCGGGCCCGCACAGTACCGGGCCAGGCCGGGTCACGGGCCGGGTGGCCCGAACCAAATCCATCCCTAGCAATGAAGCATATGAAGTCATGTGACAAAGCCAAAGGATCGGGAAGTGCGGGAAGTTCCGATTGATTACAATTTTCAAAATGTTTCTCTTAAAGTTTGTTTTAATTTTCAAATGTAGTTCCTATTTCATTTCAAATAAATGCACTTGAAGTTTGTTTTTAATACTTGTATAAAACTATAAACTATAAAATATAAATTATAAAAAAAAAAACTTTAACCGACCCGAACCGGACCCGTGACACGGGCGGGTGGCCCGACCCGAACCGGACCCGTCCAACCCTCGGGCCGGTCCCGGGCCCATGCCATACAAACCGGCGGCCCGACCGGGCCTAGGCCCGGCCCGAGTCCACGCATACACTGACCTATGATGCCTAGGTCCGTCACCGGATACATCACATTTTTACCTACCATCTTTTTTTTAGTAATATATATGTCATTATTTCACTCCGTATAGGAAAGTAAACAACCCCCAACATAGAGTAGCTACCAAACGACCTAAACCTTCAAACGCATATCAGTCAGGTGGGAACACAAACCATCAATTTAGGTTTTTCAAAGATAATACCAAAATGATACATATGATTTATTTACAAAAATGTGACTACAAATTACAATAGTATTAATTCATGGACTCGAGTTCAATTCAGTGCAAAAATTGAACATAAATCACTATGATTAAAGTTGGTAATATAATCACTATACTTAGAAATTAGGATATCATATTCTTATAAATAACTTTTATTTTAGTTATAAATATGTAATTGTTTCAAATAAAAATATAAGCAGAAATTCACTTGTTAATTAGTTAATACATGAAGAGATGTTCATCAACGTGTGGAAGTGGAACAACTCAAATATGCACCTCTGCTTTGACGACTATGGGAGCAAATTTCTTCCTCTACTGGTCAGTTGTCAAACGCAAGTACAATTGGGATATTTTTTACCTCCTAAACAAATCATAAATAAATTGTGCAACACTGATATATGCCGATATATATGCGACTGCTTGATCTTCAATATTCTTAATGAATATTACAATTATCAAAATTCAAAATGAAGGAATGTCAAGGATGAGTCCCCAAACCTCTCTCTAAATAATGTAGCTTTAGAACCAGAGTGTTACCAGCTGAAAAACTTGCCCCAAAAGAATTGGAGAGTTTTTAGAGCAATACATGATAACTGGTCAACAATCACAAATCACGAATGGGAGGATGATACTGTTTTCTCAGCAAGATAATGCTCGAGCATGTCATCCTCGTCCACTGCAAACACAGAAACCGGATTTTAATTTTAATTAGAAGAAAAATATAGGATGACTAGTATTAATCTTATGATGATGATGATGATGATGATGATGATGACGACCCAAAATACACAGCCCAAACGTTTTTTTAGTTCTCAGACAGAAAGAAGACTATTATTATAACTACTCCATATTACTCTTACTGTTAACCATAGACGATCACTACCAATACACTACCACCGCCACTACTATCATTATGATTATAATAATAACCATTATTATTTTTATATTTAATATGGTTTTATTATCATGATTATTATTATATTATCGTATAATTAGTGTTGTTATCGTTACATTATTATTATTATTAATATTATTATTATTATTATTATTATTATTATTATTATTATTATTGGTACTATAATTATTATTGTAACTCTGAAGTGATGAGAAGGTGAAGCTGGAAGTGACCTTCAAAGTCTTCATCATCAAAATCAATATCCTCTTCACCTTCATCAGACTCTTCAGCAGCGACAGCCGTTGCGCCCTTCTGTACATAACAAACAACAAATGGATTTAGGTAAACAAAAAATAAGCATAGGGGTTTTATCTGGTGTATTATTTTTGTTATGTTACTCTGAAAGGGAAAGGGTACACATATAAGGTCCCTTGGTGGCTTGGTTTATAGGGTCCCATTGGAATCCTGAAAATGATGGGGAAAGGATGAAAAGGAAACTAGGGCTAAGGGATGGGGAAAGGATGCAAAGGAAACTAGAGCTACGGGATGGGGAAAGGATGAAAAGGAAACTAGAGCTACGGGATGGGGAAAGGATGAAAAGGAAACTAGAGCTAAGGTTGGAAGTAATAAAATGTAGGGGAAATATAAAAAAGGTTCACTGAATAAATAAATTTAAGATGTTTGCCCTAACTGATTATTCATTCAATATATTTATAATATATTAAACTAAGACATATAAATACATTTGTGAAATTTTGATAAACTATAATCAAATTTGAGTTTCTTTCATATTTTCAATGTATAACGGAACGTAAAAATAAAAAAAAAAAAAAAGCTATTTTCCTAAGCATTTTATCCTTTTCCTTACAATCTTCTGCGTTACAAATATAGTCATTACGAATTTATTCATCTCCAGAAGAAAAGAGTCAGTCAGCCAATGGGATTTGGATCAAATAGCATTGGAAAATAATGCTCAAGCATCCAATGAATCTTGGTGAAATAAAAGCATAGGCCTTACTCTGGGCCACGATTAATATAATAATATACTCCGTAGTATACTAAACACGTTCATTGGAAGGAAGATAGCAAAAAAGTACTGAAAGAAATACCGCAGATGCCCTTCCACTTTCAAACCAGTGTCTGCCTGTCAGCTTTTTCTCCTTGGGTGCTGAAAGTGCTGAATCTGGCATTAACCTGAATATTTTTTATTTATCAGGACTACACTATTGAAAGCAATTGATAGCATGATTTCCACAATCGTCACTCACACACACAAGCAACATGAATGCAACTCTAACATCCATGCATATGAGCAAAAGGGTTAGCTTTATATGTTCTTTGCTTCAGTATTATAATCTTGTTACAAATTACAGTATAATGCATGCTGCTTTCATGATGGCCATCTCGGCAAAAACAAATTAGAAGCTTAAGATTGAAATCTAAAACTAAAAAATAATTAGTGTACTTTGTGGCAATTTATTCATTGCCCTCCTATTCACCTTGCGCCTTGCAACTCTAATGGAAACTTCATCACTATGACAAATATTAGTGTACCATCATCATAATTTACTACTCCCTCCGTCCCCCTAACTTTGTCCCGTTTTACCTTTTTCGTTCGTCCCATTAAGTGTCTCAGACCATATTTGGTAATATTTGAATGGTTAGAATTCATTCTTACTTTATTCACACTTTATTAATTCAATACCAACCACACAATTCTACTTTTTCTCAAAAAACCACACCACACCCCTTTGTCCCAAACTTAGGGGGACGGAGGTAGTAATTGCTAACTGCATTTGATGTAAGTTTTCAAACTGTATGGTAAGGACCATTGATGACTCAGGGGCAGTTCACTTTTTTTTATTATGTCCTGTCTGGATTAAGATGTTTGTCTGGATTAAGACGTCTGTCTGGATTAAGTGGTAGTTGTATATGAAGCTGTTTACTTTTTGTGCTGAATAGACGGTCTGAATTGAGTAAAATAATCAGTACTCCGTATTATTCTTGAGTTGTAAAGTCAATGAGAAATTGCATTTATTATTAAAATAAATCTATTTTATAATTGATTTAAATAAATTAACAAAAAAGACGTCTTAACTCTTAATAGGAAGGAGTATTATATTTCAACTTGATGATTAAGTCAGTTTTTTGACCGAATGATTAAGTCGTGCTTTCAATTAAGTCGAAAGTAAACATGACTTAATGGTTGAACGATTAAGTCACTGTTCCCATTAAGTCCATTAAGTTGAAAGTAAACAGCCCCTCACAGGGGTCCATAACATACATATGAATTTTCTTGATTTGGTTGCAGGGCTTATGAGTGAACCACATAAGGATTTTCTACTTACTTGGCTCTTTCGAGGGCCTGTTCTGCCTCAAATCTTTCCCTCCATGCCAAGAATGTTTCAATGGTCACCGGTTCTCCATGAGGCACAACTATCTGAAATAAAAATAGAGCCACATTCAATTTGAATGGGTCTAAATATAAGTGAACTGAATGATGATAGGACCCCGGCTATTATAAATAATAAAAATAGATATGGCTTAGTCTATTCTAGAAAGAAGAAGTAGTTTATCTGTTTTTAGCTGGCGGATAGTTGTTATGAACTATTGACTACTTATAGTTAGGGAGTTGGGACTATAAATAGAATAAACCAGTTAGAAGTTAGGCAGGCAGTTAGATGCTTGGCTTGGGACTGGGAAGTTGGAGTTCTATCTCTAGCTTTGGGACTACTGTACTGTGTACCGCCATTAATGAAGTTTGGAGTTGTTTTCTATTTCGTTTTACTGTGTGAATTGCGAACTGTTCTTATCATTGGTATCAGAGCGCGTTTGATCGCTGGATGACTGTGACGCGAGCGAAGATGGAAAGCAGAATGACGGAAATAGAGAGGAATTTGCGTGAGATGCAGGCAAATTTTAAGACCGCGTTGACGACGATGCAAGCCAGTTTAGCTGAAATGCAGAACAGGACCTCTGAGAGATCACGGAGTCGTTCGCACCAGTCGAATACTTCACGTCGATCGGCGCAGGGGAGACATACAAAGCAGAATGATAGTTCGGAAGATTCAGAGACAAATTCCGATCACTCTGCCTTGCATCAGGATCACAATCATCATAGGCGACCACGAACTCCAAATCAAGCTGGACGGAAAATTGATTTGCCTGTTTTCAACGGAGAGGATGCTTTTGGTTGGTTGGTGAGGATGAATCGCTACTTCAGATTGAATCAGACTGACGAGAGAGACAAAGTGGACATGGCCGTTCTGGCAATGGAGGATCAGGCTCTGAGTTGGTTCCAGTGGTGGGAGGGACAGGCTCGCCATATGAACTGGGAGACTTTTACGAAGGATTTGACCAAACGCTTTCAACCAGAACTGGTACAAGATCTGTTAGGACCTTTGTTCAGTTTAAAGTAGCGAGGAACTATGAAGGAGTACAGGGACAAGTTTGAAACTGTCATAGCCTCCCAGGGACACTTAACTGAGGAGGTTCTGAAAGGTGTCTTCCTTAAGGGATTGAGAAGGGATATCAGGGCTGAACTGAAGTTGTATACTACCAGAACCTTAGCTGAGGTTATGGATCAAGCTTCCCTTATTGAGAACAAAAATAATGAAGCTATGTTGATGAAGAACAAAGAAGAAGGAAAGAAAAAGGGGTTAAGTAAGAGCAATAGTTCATATTCACAAACCATTTGGGGTGATGGAAGCAGATGGAAAAGTATGACTAACAGTAACTCTAACATGCCAAAGAGTAACTCAGATTACAGAAGCAACACTGACATAAAGGCACCTACTATGGGTAAATTTGGTCCCAGGTTATCCAGGAGTGAGCTGCAAGAAAGAAGTAGGAGAGGCTTGTGTTTCAAGTGTGGAGAGGACTGGAGCAAGGGTCACATCTGTAAGATGAAGAACTATAAGATGATTCTAGTGGAACAGTCTGAAGGAGAAGATGAATCTGAAGGGGAATTACTGGAATCTGAAGAAGAGGGAGATACTCATAAACAACTTAAAACAATGCAACTTTCTGTTTTAAGTAAGGAGGGTATTCCGTCCATGAAAACATTCAAGGTGCAAGGTGTGTTGAATTGGCTTGATGGGAAACAACCTGTGAACATTCTGATTGACAGTGGAGCCAGACACAATTTCATAGCGCAGGGTTTCATTGACAGGTGGGGGGTACCTTTTATGCCTATACAAGGAGTTAAAGTGCAGATTGGCAATGGGGATCTCATCCATAATAATGGCAGATGTGATGGAATGAAGTTGGAAGTGCAAGGAAATACCATACATCAATCATATTATATTCTGGAATTGGGTGGCACAGATATTGTTTTGGGTGAGGCATGGCTGACTGAGTTGGGCGACATGGAAGTGAATTTTCAGAAGCAAGTAATAAGATGGAAACAACAAGAAAGGATAAATTGTATCCAAGGGGAAGCAGCACTGAATAATTGGGAGGTTCCAGTGAAAACAATGCTTCACATTCTGCAGAAAGAAGGAGATGGATATTTTCTTTATTATGAAGGGCAGTTGTATGGTTTGGAACAGAATACTAAGGAAGCCAAGGTTTGGGAAGACATCATTGCTGAATTTCCAGAAGTGTTTACTAATCAGTTGAAGTTTCCTCCTGCCAGAGATTGTGACCATGCCATAAACATCCAAGAAGGAGCTAGTATCCCAAATCTGAGGCCCTACGGGTACACTTTTGATCAGAAAAATGAGATAGAGAAAGTAATTGGTGAAATGTTAAAAGCTGGTATCATTAAGCACAGTAATAGTCCCTACAGCAGTCCTATCTTATTGGCCAGAAAAAAAATGGTGGTTGGCGATTTTGTGGTGATTATAGAGCCCTGAATAAGATCACAATACCTGATAAGTTTCCCATACCAGTTATAGAGGAGTTGCTAGATGAATTGGGGGGAGCAAGGGCTTTTTCTAAACTGGATCTGAAGTCAGGCTACCACCAAATCAGAATGAAGGAGAGTGATACCTGTAAGACTGCTTTCAGAACACATGAAGGTCATTACGAGTACCTAGTCATGCCATTTGGGTTGACTAATGCACCTTCAACATTTCAGGCTCTGATGAATGAAGTTTTGAGATCTTTTCTCAGGAAATTTGCCTTGGTATTCTTTGATGATATACTGGTTTACAGCAAAACCAAGGAGGATCATAAAGAACACCTCAAATTAGTCCTGGACGCTTTAAAGAGGAATGACTTGGTAGCAAATCGGAAGAAATGTTCCTTTGGTCAAGAGCAACTGAGATATTTGGGTCATATCATTTCTGCAGAAGGGGTGGCAGCTGACCCTAGTAAAACTTAGGCCATGGTAGAGTGGGTTGTACCAAAAGATTTAAAGGAGTTGAGGGGTTTTTTGGGTCTTACTGGATACTACAGGAGGTTTGTCAAGGGCTATAGTCACATTGCTGCTCCATTAACACAATTGCTGAAGAAGGATGGGTTTAAATGGAGTGATATGGCTACGAAAGCTTTTGCTGAGTTGAAGAATGCTATGTCTTTTTTACCAGTGTTGAGAATCCCTGATTTCAATAAAGTTTTTGTAGTAGAAACTGATGCATCTGGAAGGGGGTTAGGGGCAGTACTTATGCAAGATGGGGGTCCCATTGCCTTTTTGAGCAAGGAACAAACACCTAAACATTTGAGTAAATCTGTTTATGAAAAAGAGTTGATGGCAATTGTGTTTGCAATCCAAAAGTGGAGGCCCTACTTACTTGGAAGGAAATTTGAGGTTCACACTGATCAAAGAAGCCTCAAATACTTGACTGAGCAAAGAATCATGGGAGAGGATCAACAAAAGTGGATTGCCAAGCTAATGGGATACAATTTTATCATTAAATATGTAGAAAAATGTAACATATACTTGTTATTTTAATTATTTGTACATCTGGGACTGTATAGATAAGAATTAGAGTAGATAGAACTCTCTAACTAGTAGATAAGCTCGCAGAATAGATAGAATAGATAGATCCTATATTTTAGGATCTGTAACAACTAGGCTTTATCTGTAACTTGTATATATATCATTGCCGGATGGCTCAATAATATTCAAGGAAGATTAATTCTTCAAACCTACATGGTATCAGAGATCAGTTTAAACAATGGTAGAAACCAGTGATGCTGATTCCTCACACACTATCAACCCTAACTCCCAAATTAGCCCCATGACAAATTACCAGTCTCCTATCCATTCATCTATGATAATCACTAGTCATAGATTGAATGGAACAAACTATCTGGAGTGGTCTCAATCTGTCAAACTTGCAATTGATGGGAGAGGAAAGCTGGGTTACATCACAGGAGAAATCAAACCAAAACTACCTACAGAAGAAGGTTAGAGTACATGGAGGTCAGAGAATTCACTCATAACAGCTTGGCTTCTCATCAATTGCAAGTTGTTAGCGATGTGTCAAACTTGCAATTGATGGGAGAGGAAAGCTGGGTTACATCACAGGAGAAATCAAACCAAAACTACCTACAGAAGAAGGTTACAGTACATGGAGGTCAGAGAATTCACTCATAACAGCTTGGCTTCTCATCAATTGCAAGTTGTTAGCGAGAAGTCTTCGCACGCTCGAGGTAATCCACATAGTCCGCAGGTCTCTCCTCAGTCGCTAGCCGCGTCTCACAGCGCTTTAGTTTCGTCGCCAGCAGAAGATCCACATCCGCAAACTTCCGCACTCGCCTATCCTCACAGTTCGCACAAATCATCTCTATCCGTTGTTCTGAGTTCTCAGGATGAGTTGCAATCGGCTTCTCCCGGTACATCACCGTCGTCTCAAACCACTTCTCAGTCCACAAGTTCTATCGCTCGGTGTTGAGCTTGTTAGCTGGCAGCAACCTCATTCTGAAGATACTTTCATCTATCGTGAAGGACGAGAGGAGAAATCTTCTGTGGTGACTCCATCCTCGATTGCTGGGGCATATAAATCTTCTGATTATAAAATTGCTGGTTCAAATATTTCTGAGTTGGAGAACAAGGTGGTTCCTGAAATTTATATAGGACAAGTAGATGAACCTCAAGCTACCTTGTATACTAGTATAAATGGAATCAACAGCAAGGCGAGAAATGCAGTATCATGGTCTCATATTGCAGCAATCTATGCACAGGTTCTGGAAATTCCAAATCGACCGTTAGATCACTACTTTGAAGGTTTTAAGCTGTTGGTTGACAGTAGGTCACTATCAGAATGGCGAACTGACGAGGGAAAGGAAGCAGCAGCAGTTTATGCTGGCTCAAAAACCACCATTGATGACAGAAGGGTTGGTGAAAATGACAGGGAAATAACAGCAGTTTATATTTTTGTGCTAGATAGAGGTGTAGGTTTTGACAACCAGTCTCATATGGCAATTGCTGGTACAGAGATCAAGATTCTATGGAAAAGAGATGAGGATTGGAAAAGGGTTATCAGTGTTCACACACTTACTAATACAAGATGGATGGAGAAATATGTTGTTGATGCTGACAGTCTGGACCAATCTATTGTGGGTAAAGGTGTTGTATTATTTTGGGGTGCCTTAGCAAGGCAATTGGGGAAGAATGATCTACAGAGTAGTGCAATTGAAGGATCAGTCTTCATTCACTCAAATGTCAAATCTGGGATGGCAGTTAAGGGCTGCAGTTTGATACTTACTGCAATTTGGGACTCCTGTAATTCTGGACTCAGATGGGCTGATGAGTTTGTTTTTGAATACCATTTGGGTAGAATCAGTGTGGACCTGGACTTTACTACTCAGGCTGTGGTTATTGATGTCTCCAACAGAGAGTCAGAGAGCGTCTCATGGATTTATTTTTTTAAGCCAGAAATTGCTAGTGGTATCATAATTGATGGAAAATGGTTGGATGGACTGCACATTCTTTATGGAGCTGTTCAACGAGCAAGCTATTCCTATAAATCTCCTACGATGCAGTCCAAACAGGAGATTGATCTATGGGATACACGATTAAAAGTGGGTAGCTTGCTTGGGGACCACTTGGCCATGCTAAAATTTGTAATCAATGAGGTTTGTCAACCGTTAGCTAGGGAATTCTTAAAGAGGTGGATTGATCAAACAGTTGAAGTTTGTATGGGTGTTCTCGAAATGGTTAAAGCTGGTTTGCTCTGTGATTCATTTAGAGTTGAAATTCCTCATCTTATTTCTGCCTTATGTGAGAGACTACTTAATTCTGGGATGGCAGTTAAGGGCTGCAGTTTGATACTTACTGCAATTTGGGACTCCTGTAATTCTGGACTCAGATGGGCTGATGAGTTTGTTTTTGAATACCATTTGGGTAGAATCAGTGTGGACCTGGACTTTACTACTCAGGCTGTGGTTATTGATGTCTCCAACAGAGAGTCAGAGAGCGTCTCATGGATTTATTTTTTTAAGCCAGAAATTGCTAGTGGTATCATAATTGATGGAAAATGGTTGGATGGACTGCACATTCTTTATGGAGCTGTTCAACGAGCAAGCTATTCCTATAAATCTCCTACGATGCAGTCCAAACAGGAGATTGATCTATGGGATACACGATTAAAAGTGGGTAGCTTGCTTGGGGACCACTTGGCCATGCTAAAATTTGTAATCAATGAGGTTTGTCAACCGTTAGCTAGGGAATTCTTAAAGAGGTGGATTGATCAAACAGTTGAAGTTTGTATGGGTGTTCTCGAAATGGTTAAAGCTGGTTTGCTCTGTGATTCATTTAGAGTTGAAATTCCTCATCTTATTTCTGCCTTATGTGAGAGACTACTTAATTCTGAGGAAGATGTTTGTAAGCAAGTTGTTGTTCTCTGTTATGTAGCATGCTGTGCCTTATCCTCCATAGACTTTGAAGGAATCAAGCTCATTGCTGAGAGTCTTAGAGACCAATATCTACTGGTAAGAAAATATACTTGGAGAAGCTAGCTGAGGGATACAAAAATTATTGTTTGAACTGTTCCAATGGTTTGCACAAAAGTTTCAAGTATGATTGGATTCCTGGGATGAGGTTGATGCGATATTATAACTGGGAATTCAGATCAGATGTTTTTAAACTTGTTCAAGGTCTTGACAAAGTTGAGATCAATTCTTTTGAAAAGAGGTTGGAACAAAAGCCAAGGATACAACAGGAGATGCAGATGCTGGGAGATTCTTACTTTTACAACACCCTGGTGCATCATACCACCATGTCATTGCTTCTGTTTCTTCCTGCTGTGAAGTACATGTGGAAGAAGATTCAAGAAGTGAAGCTCCTAGCCCAGAAACCAAGGAGGTACTAGGAAGGAAGAGGAGCGAGGATGAAGCGGCATGGCATGGGTATTTCTTACTCCACCTTGACCCCACCTTGAGGGCAAGGTGGTTGTCAAAGGGGGGAGTAATGATAGAGACCTAGATAGTACTAGTAATAAGAATAATACTAGTCTTTTATTATTGTATACAATAAAAGGGGCTCATGCCCTGAATTAAATGGCACCAGGCTAGCCCAAATAGAAAAGAATAAATAGGAGTTGGGGAAGTAGAAGAGAGGCAGGCAGAACTTGGGACTTCTGGACTGGGATTTTGGGAGAGACGGACTGATCTTGTATCTTTCCTTTCAGTTTCTTCATTTACGTTCTTAATAGACATTGTCAATTTTCCTCTTCGATCTTGATATCTAACAGATAAGAACACTGTTTTCATTCTCAAATTAAGACTCATTTTTTCATAAATACAGAGCACTAGAAAACTCTCCCTCGGTGCCGAAATAAACTTCTTGTTTTGGATTTGGCATGCTTATAAGGAAGGTGGTTAAAAAGTAAAAGAGGGGGTGTAGATTTGAATAGAAATGAGTGAAATGATAAGAACCATTTATACATTTCCTAAGAAGGAAAGAAGAAGATTAATCGGAAGTAGGTACAGAACAAAAAGGAAAATGGAAGTCTAATTCAGGAAGAGAGTAGTACTTTTTATACACTAATACGCCTTACCCATTTAAATAAAAACCTACATCTCTCATGTAAATTTCCTAGCAAATTTAGTACAATACTACGTACTGTCTTTCTCCCCCACCCATGCCCCACAAAATTTCAGCCATGGCTCCATCTCTAACTCATTTACTATCTTTCTCACTATAACCATACATCCCACTTAATTTTGGTCATGGGCTCACGGCTTCATCCTCTGCTAGTGCACAAAACATTTTACAAAGAAATAAAGCGACACATGCAATCAAAAAATTAAAAGAAAAAATTGAGTTACGTAGAACTGTGGCCAACACCCTCCACAATATTTTCTGCTATGGTTCCTCTCTTTCTTTGCAAGCTTTCTGCCATGGATTCCTAATCCCTCTAGTCCTCTAGGCATCCATGTTTCACGAGCAAATTGGGATACAACATCTAGATCTTCAATGGTTACCGCGGTGATAAGTAAATGTAGATGGTCATTGGTCAATCATGTTTTTTCTGATCTTTTGTCCTTTTTTAATGCAAGGAGAGGCCTTGAAGGCAAAGGGATGGATATTGAAGATGTTAGGGTTGCGTGTGAGTGACAGAAAGTGAGGTTAGATTGGTCTTGATGGGCAGTGACGACGTTTGTGTTTTGTGATGATGAGCAGTGTGGTTAGAGCCAGGTGGTGATGGGCAGTAAATGGGTGTGAATGGTGTGATGGACAATGAAGATGGTAAGATTGTGGGTTGGTGGGAAGTGAAGTTGGGTTTGAGTAGTGATGGGCAGTGAACTAGTGAAGACATTAATGTGTAAGAGTAATGAGAGGTATTATAGGTGCGCTACTTCTCTTTAGTCATATCGAAAATGATACTCCTTCCGTCCCTTGAAACTTTGCCGAGTTTGACTTGCACGGAGAATAATATAGTAAAAAGTAAAAATTGTGTGGTTGAGGCTTGTGCAGAGGAGAGAGAAAAAAACAGGAACCACAAAATAATTGTTTAAAGTGGCAAAGTTTTTTGGGACATCCCAAAAAGGAAAGATGGTAAAGTTTTAAGGGACGGAGGGAGTAAGTTTTGATAGTCATATTTAGGGGAACGCTGAGAAAAATTCTCATATAAACAGAACAAGCAATTACTAATGACAGTCCTATTATGTAACCTTGACTTGAAGAAACCTTGAAGACAGAAACACATTTTCCATTTCAATTTAGATCCCTTTCAGTTAAATGTCCTAAAATTGTAGTACCGATGTTGGATACATGTAATCTTGACGCATATATTGGATACTTTATGCAACAGGTTGGACAGTTAAATAATATACCTCATCTTTCGCAACTTCAGCTTCTCCAGCATTTTCATCATTAGCATCCTTGGAAAATAGTTCAGATAACCACTCTTTTGCTGATGTGACCAATGTAAAGATCATTGCCATACCAAGATTATCAGTTGCCTGTAGAATACAATCATAACAGTTTAAGCTGCATCAGAAATTATGGTCCTGCAAAGTGGTAAAATGCAACAGCCAAACATTTCCAATAAATTTAGAGTTCATTGCACATCTAGATTTTTGTCTGCAGACTACATGTGCCTTGTTGAGGAGGTGGGATGGAAGTTTCCCTCCACCAAATTTACTGATCAGTCATATGCTTCAACAGCAAGATAAGAGTTCAGACGTTCAGTCCTACTTATTAAATTCATTGAAGTAGATGTTGTAGGTTGAAAGAATATTCAGAATGCAAATTCAGTTAGTGTAAATATGTCAAAGAGTGCATAACAATGGGGAGTAGAACAACTGAACAACAATGTAGAAAATACCTCTTGTTGAAGCTTTTCTTTCAAAATTTTAAGGTCTCCGCCTTGAATTCCCTTTAAACTGAAAAACTACCACAAAGATGTATTAAAACACAACAATTGTGCAATTATCCACATGAGCTCAGTTAGAGTTGAAATTGAAATGTAAGCAAATAAACTTTGACCCTATAACCCGATCCATCCTTTGGACCATAAACCCACAAGCTCAAATTTATGTCAATGTTTAAATATGATGAACGGTATAATTTCCTATTTCCCCCATTTTTTATGATTAAAACATGCAGCTCATACCTTTGGACATCCAAAAGTGGGGGCTCATCAGGATACCTTTCAGTGTGTGAGAAAATCAAAGCAAGCCTAACTGCAGATGCACTCAGGTGGTGAGCATAATTACTCAAAGCAGTCAACAGAATAAAGTAAGAATAGCACAGCGATTGAGGTTGTCAGGAAGCAACTGCATTAAAACCTGATGAGTTTGTAGGTTCATCTGCCTCCTCCTCCTCCTAAAAACAAAGGAAATGTTTATAAGACTGTTGATTGATGATGAAACTCATAGCCATATGATAAATGATTAAAACATCATCAGGGTTTTGGAGACAAGCAACGAGAATCAATAAATTGTGAAACTTTAATTACAAATGATAAAAAGTGTTCAAACTTCAAACCAATTAACTATTTTTTACTATCATATTAATCATGAGAACTGCTTAATAAGGATGAGATTTTCACAATACACTTAAGAGTAAGCAACATGTATATGCATACCTGAGGGGATATAGCAATCTGAAAGCATCTTCTGGATGTGTTCAGTCCACTTTCACCCGTGTGAAGTTCTGGAAAAATAATAAAAGATTATATTACTCGTGAGACTAACACAAGCTGGTACCCACCAAAATAAGCATCAAGCACAGTCGATCACAGACCCTTGAAGTCATCCATAAGGATAGCTTCTAATGCTTCAATTTCCATCTCTTGCTCCTGAACATAATCTGATCAATAGTTGAAGTATCAGATATGTGTATATAATTCTAGAGCACCCGTCAGTAATCTAACAATTCACACTAGTTTGCAACGTGAAATAGTCCCCACTTTCACATATTTATTGCAATCCAACTTGAGCAAAGACAGTAACAAGCTTTAACTGGATGTTATAGAACTCAACTTGTTAAAGAACATATGAGTTAGAACCTTCCTAATAAAGAAGAACAACACAGTCCAAGCAGAAAATACAATGAATACTAATCAATCAACTACTTTGTTGCTAAAACCCAAAAAATATCCAATTTTTTAGAGATTACCGGTCATGGTTGCCTTCTGCTCGTGCTCTAAGTATGATATCCCAGTCAGAATAACAAAAGAGTGCACGAAAACCTAAACAATCCTCTCGATTTTAAGGATTCGGAACTGCAAACTTTAATTCAGCTATGCTAGATGCCTGCCTCGTGTTCTCCTTGGATCGACGACTTCGGACGTAGGCCGGAATCGAGTCTCTTGATTATTTTCAAGTATTCTGAGATTTCTGCCTCGCCCTTCCGACAGTTCCACTTAGAATTTGCCACTGGCTGATTAATGAATTAATTTTTTTGGAAAGATTAATTAATGAAAAATAAATATATTCCACTAAAAATAGGGAAAGTCTTCTAAAAAACTAAAAAATAGGGGAAATGGAAGTTAATAATTCCACTTAAAAATACTTTCTATCAAGTCATGTTTTAAAATTTACTTAACTTGATGCTATAAAAAATGTACTTAATTGGATTGAAATTTTCTTTTCAGATCAGGTTTTTATCGGAGAAAATGGTCACAACTCACAATGATACAGTGAAGTTGTTTCGATAGGAGTAAGTAGTATTTCATCTTACATTTGAAATTTAAAAGTACATGAACTTGTATTTTTATAGTGGATCAAGTACATCTGTTATGGCAGATCATTAAAATAGCTGACATGGCCAAACTATATGTTTTTATTCTACAGTTATAATCCAAGTCATCAAATAATTAATCTATAAACTCTATTTTCTTCTCTCGTCCACTCATTTCACTTTCTCTCTTCATCTTATATTTATCTCGTCTGTTCTTTCTTCTCTTCGCTCTACATCTTATATTTCTCTTGTCGACTTCTTCCTTTTGCTATATTTTATTTTCTTCTTCCTCTCTTGCTATAATAAAGATGGACTGATAGCAAATAATAGAAACGGCCAACGGGATAGCAAGGAGAGCAGACGAGAGAGAACTAGAGAAGGAGAGCAGCAGCGGATCGGAGTTAGGGGGCAACCTAGGCCATGGCCTACCCCAAATTTAAAAATGTTTTAATTTTAAAGTAAAAAAATGTGTAATTTTTTTTCAAAAAAATTTTTTGCACTAGTCTAGTCCGGTCCAGTACCCTAACTCCGCCCTTGAAGAGCAGACGAGAGAAATATAAGATGAAGCGCGGAGAGAAGGGAAAACAAACCTGAGAAATATAAGATGATGAGTGAATGTGGAAATGAGTGAATTGAAGCAAATTACAGTTTATAGATTAATTATTTGATGACTTGGACTGTAATAGTATATTACAAACTGATAGTTTTGCCATGTCAGCTATTTTATCGTTCTAACAGAGCAAATGTACTTAATCGACTTTGAAAGTGGAAGTTTGTGTACCTTGTAGTTCCAAATGTGAGATGGAGTACTAGTTACTGCACTTGAAACAACTTCATGTACTATTTTGATCATTTTCTCGTTGTTTATCTCAATTGGTTTGGTCTATTTTGTTAAATGTCTGATCTTTGTGTATTTTTTATTTGTTTAAATCTGATTTGGTGTGGAATATTTAAGTATGATCTTGTCTGATGTGTTTAAGTTTTGTCTCGGTTGATTTAGTTTGAGATTGAAATCATCCTTGTTCCACTATTATTACTCCACTCATCATATGTTATATATTTATATATTGCGGAGTATATATTAAGGAAAAGACTGGTCAATGCACATCCCAGTATTTTTCAATGAATTTTCTGAGCACTTTTTAAAATAGGAGTTAATTTTCATCGTCCTCCTCCGACGATTTCTAACGACGTTAGCGCCAGCGCTCTCCTGTGATAACAAAATTGAAAACATGACCTATTTTATTAAGAAATAAAACACATGATCCTATGTGAAAACAAACTCAATCAAAGTACCTTTTCCGTACTATTCCATATATATTATTATTATATATTATATACATTTGTATAGTATATATTATTATTATTATCATAATTATTATATATAATAAATTCTCTAAAATACATTTTCCTCTCCAATGTATACATTAAAATCAATGATGAGTTACAATATTATTCTCTAACTAATACTCCCTCCGTTCTATATTTTTCAAACATGTCGAGTTAATGAGAAACCCTAGTGGCCGTCTCCCCTCTTCGTAGGGGTTGAGATTTTCCGCCGCCCCTATCAATATGGGGTTGGAGCGGCAGATTATACTGATTTTAAGTGTTCTAACGCTTGGGATTGCAACTACGTCGAAGGAGATAGCGTTGGCGGATGAACGAAGTGCGGCTGCGAGGTTGTGTCAAGACTGGATCGTGAAGCCTTGGTCAGCCATTCCGACGGTGGTGGAGTTGGTATTCACCCATATTGCAAGAGTTCGTCCTCCTCCGGAACCACCTCCATATCAGGGAATGCTTTGTGGAAAGATTTTATTTCAGTATTATTTTATCTTTACTTGCAATTGTTTTCGTTTCAGTCCGACTAGATTTGGTTTGAAAGTTTGGATTTTTGGAGTTCCTTTGATAGACAGAGTTTCGGTTCCATTCGTTTTAGACCTAAATTTGTCCGTTTCAGGTTTAGCGAGTCATGTTGCTTTGTATGAGGTGACTCACTCTAAGTCTACTCCTAAGATTCATGATTGGTCTATAATTTCTGTCTGAAGGTTGTCTTGTATGTGTTATTGATTTTAATATAACGGCCGCTCTTTTATGATCAAAAAATACTCCCTCCGTTCTTTTTTAATTGCAACGGTCAACATTTCACATTTGACAACACACGTCTTTGACCGTAAATATATCTTAATTCTATTAGTAAAAAGAATATTAAAAATCAGATTTTGAATATTTATAATGAGATGAATTGAACAATATTTTTTTAAAAAAATTCATAAAATAATAGCGTAAAATGTAGTCAAAGTAGAGCATGTGAATAGTGTAAAATTAATCTATAAACTCTATTTAAAGTATATTTAAGTATGATCTTGTCTGATGTGTTTAAGTTTTGTCTCGGTTGATTTAGTATGAGATTGAAATCATTCTTGTTCCACTATTATTACTCCACTCATCATATGTTATATATGTATATATTGCGGAGTATATATTAAGGAAAAGTATGGTCAATGCACATCCCAATATTTTTCAATGAATTTTCTGAGCACTTTTTGAAATAGGAGTTAATGTTCATCGTCTTCCTCCGACGATTTCTAACGACGTTAGCGCCAGCGCCCTCCTGTGATAAAGAAATTGAAAACATGGCCTATTTTACTAAGAAAATGAAACACATGATCCTATGTGAAAACAAACTCAATCAAAGTACCTTTTCCGTACTATTTCATATATATTATTATTATATATTATATACATTTGTATAGTATATATTATTATTATTATTATCATAATTATTAATAAATAATAAATTCTCTGAAATACATTTTCCCCTCCAATGTATACATTAAAATCAATGATGAGTTACAATATTATTCTCTAACTAATACTCCCTCCGTTCTATATTTTTCAAACATGTCGAGTTTACGAGAAACCCTAGTGGCTGTCTCCCCTCTTCGTAGGGGTTGAGATTGTCCGCCGCCCTATCAATATGGGGTTGGAGCGGCAGATTATACTTATTTTAAGTGTTCTAACGCTTGGGGTTGCAACTACGTCGAAAGAGATAACGTTGACGGATGAACGAAGTACGGCTGCGAGGTTGTATCGAGACTGGATCGTGAAGCCTTGGTCAGCCATTCCGGCGGTGGTGGAGTTGGTATTCACCCATATTGCAAGAGTTTGTCCTCCTCCGGAACCACCTCCATATCAGGGAATGCTTTGTGGAAAGTTTTTATTTCAGTTATTTTCTCTTTACTTGCAATTGTTTTCGTTTCAGTCCGACTAGATTTGGTTTGAAAGTTTAGATTTTTGGAGTTCCTTTGATAGACAGAGTTTCGGTTCCATTCGTTTTAGGCCTAAATTTGTCCGCTTCAGGTTTAGCGAATCATGTTGCTTTGTATGAGGTGGCTCACTCTAAATCTACTCCTAAGATTCATGATTGAGTCTGTACTTTCTGTCTGAAGATTGTCTTGTATGTGTTCTTGATTTTAATATAACGGCCGCTCTTTTATGATCAAAAAATACTCCCTCCGTTCTTTTTAAATTGCAACGGTCAACATTTAACATTTGACAACGCACGTCTTTGACCGTAATTATATCTTAATTCTATTAGTAAAAAAATATTAAAAATCAGATTTTGAATATTTATAATGAGATGAATTGAACAATATTTTTTTAAAAAAAAATAATTTTCTTAAATTAATAGCGTAAAATGTAGTCAAAGTAGAGCATGTGAATAGTGTAAAATTTAACATATTACGATTAAAACAGAACGGATGATAGTGAGGACGGAGCTCCCTCGCTATATAGGGTTTAGTTTATGCCACCGGATAGTACGTGCGGATTGATACAGATAGCTTTAGCGTTGCTAGTGTTTGGCTATATTCAGTTTTGAATTTGCTGCTAGCTTTCTTGGTTTTGACAGGAGACCAAAATACGAAGGGCTAGTTGCAGGATTTTGTTGTGCTCTCTTTAATTTGCAGAATTTGGTCAGTCATGACTTGCTTCTCCATCGCTTCACGATTCATGGAGATGAGCATTGGCATTTGGCGGCGTGAAGGCATGGCAAAGAGTGTGATAAACAAGAAGCAGAGTGAGGAAGAAGATGAAGTAATGTCGGTCCGTCCTCCTCTTGAATCGCCACCATGGAGGGATCGTGTGGGTAGAGTTTGGAACACTAGTAAAAGAAATGGCTTATAGTGACATTAAATTTGTGTCACTAAACGATTTAGTGACACTCTGAAAGTGTCACAGAAAAATGGGGCTACTGACGCTAAATTTAGTGACACCGTTAACAAGTCACTTTTGTGTCACAAAATTATAACATATAAACATCATAGAGAACTGTGATATATACGTAATAAGGTTTTTTGTGATACTAATGCATCATGTTTTTTAGTGATATATACATAACAAGAATTTTTGTGATACCATTGAATTCAAACTTTTGAGTGTTTTTATATGATCACCCACAAACATTATAAAATTAAAAGCTAATAGATAACTAAAATATCATTCTTTTATTAATATACTCCCTCCGGACCTAAATAAACTTCACACTTTCCTTTTTGGATAGGTCCAAAATAAACTTCACACTTCTTCTCCCTTCCTTATTTGGCAAATTATCTACATCAAGACAGTGCAAAACAGTGTCAAACAATGCCAAACAGTGTCACAACAGTGTGTTCTACAGCAAAGTCAAATTTATTTCATTAATTTGTGTGAAGTCAAAGTGTGAAGTTTATTTAGGACCGGATGGAGTA